ACTTGTTGCTCTCAGGAGGTGATGCATGTCGGGTGGCATTCCGGGTCGAGGCGCGGACTCCGAGTCACGTCTTTGGATTGCAGGTTGCAGGCGACTGTTGGTTGGTCGTGTCCTCAGGTGGGCTTCAGATTGACTTTTGTTGGGACTACTTGCTGGTTACTACAGGCAGGCTGAGGATGGCTCCCTCAGATCGTGTAGGCTGAATCTCCAACTAGGTTGCAGGCGTCTGGGTTGTTTATGCCATTGGGCCGTCAACATTTTTGGGTCGTATGTACAGATTGACTTAAGCCCGTGGGTTAGGTCTGACCTGGATCCGAGTTCGATGGACTTCATCTTCTTCACCCTTTTTCACGCAATTTTTTGAAGGTCTTTTTCTTCCCTCCCGAGCGTCTCCGGTAACGTTTTCGAATGTACATCCTACTAACTTTAATTGTGTGGCTTTAACTAAAAATAGTAACTAAAAATAGGAGGAATGACTTTTAACCTAAAATAGAGATTTATCTAACAATCTTCTCCTAAAGCCGTGTGGTATATATCTACTTTATTGATTGAACTCAGATCTTCAAGCGAAGTTTTTCAAATTTCACCCGCGCTAGAGATTTGGTGAAGAAGTCTCCAAGTTGTTTCTCTGTTCGGATGAAATCAATCTTGATGAGCCCCTGATCTGCACATTCCCGGATGTAGTGGAATTTGATTTTTATGTGCTTGCTCCGGTCATGCAAAACTGGATTTTTTATCAGAGAGATCGTAGCTTTGTTGTCCACGTATAACATTGATGGATCGCCTTCTCTTCCGATGAATTCTTCCATCAGTCGCGCAAGCTAGACCCCTTGTGTTGCTGTCGTCGAAGCGGCAATGTACTCTGCTTCCCAAGAAGATAAAACAACTACCTTTTGCTTAGTTGATTGCCAGCAGATTGTGCCACCTTAGAGGAAGTAAATCATCCCGCTGGTGCTCTTACGATCATCAACGTCACTAGCCATGTTACTATCATTGTAGCCGATCAGCTCAAGCTTCTTCTTTCCTCTCCCTGCGCAGTATCTCACACCCCAACCTTTGGTTCAGGCCACATAGCGCAGAATGCGCTCAACAGCCACAAGATGCTCCTCCCTAGGTGCTTCCATAAACCTACTCACGTATCCAACGGAATAAGCAAGGTCAGGGCGTGTGTTTACCAGATAGCACGGGCTCCTGACAATGCTGCGGCAATTGGTGGAGTCGACTACTGTCGTAGTGCTAGCCTTCCTTAACTAGAGTCGAGCCTCCATTGGCGTCCTTGTAGGGTTACTGTCCGTTAGCCTAGCTGTGTTCAGCAACTTCTTTGCCTACGCACCTTGACAGATGGTGATGCCGACAATACTCTGTTGCATTTCGGTGTCAAGGTAGTAGCTGACCACACCAAGATTGTTCATCTTGAAGTTCTTTGACATCTCCCTCTTGAATCTTCCAATCATTCCATGTCGCCTCTAGTGATTATGAGGTCGTCGACGTACACTCCCACGATCAGTTGCTGCTCGCAGTGGTTGCGCATGTACATGCCATGCTCAGAGGCACATCGCTTGAACTTCAGTGACAGTAGGATACTGTCGAGCTTCGCGTTCCAGGCTCGTGGTGCTTGTCGAAGCCCATAGAGTGCCTTGTGCAGGCGTAGTACCTTGTCAGAGTTGTTGTTGTCCAGGAAGCTCGATGGTTGTTGGACATAAACAGTCTCCTTCAGCTCTCCATTGAGGAGAGTGGACTTCACGTCCATGTGGTGACCTCCCAGAAATGATGTGTCGTGATCGCCAGCAATAGGCAGACAGATTCCAACCTTGCCACCGGCGCGAATACCTCTTCGAAGTTCACTTCTTGCTTCTGGACATAGCCCTTCGCCACCAAACAGGCCTTGTATTTCACAACTTCTCTCTCTTTGTTACGCTTCAGTTTGAAGATCCATTTGAGCCCTATGGCTCCGTGTCTCGACGACATGTTCTCTAGACTCCACGTCCTGTTCTCCGTGATAGATGTCATCTCTTCCTGCATTTCCTTCAGCCAGCATGGGTTCTTCTTTGCTTCAGCGAAGGAGTTCGGCTCATCTGCGCTGATGGTATGCAGTTCGACCACCTCTTCTTTGAGCTCGCGCGCCACCAGTCCAGGTAGTTCACCTCCTCCCAGTAGGTCTTCCATCCTCCGGTACCTAACCACCAGAACATCATCGTGATCGGCATTCAGTGTTGAATCCGCAGTACCTGGTGTTGCGAACTCCACTGGTTCAGGGGGTGCAGCCGAAGTTGTGGTTGGGGTTGGCGTAGGAAGGAGGAGCGTAGCATTGAGAGCGTAGCGGCGGTGACGGTTCTCAATGCTACGCTCCTCCTTCTCCCGGCTTGGTGACGAGGTAGTCCACCGTGAATTGATTTGGGTTTTGTATGCCTCGGTCATGTCGTTCTACTGCCAGAAGGTGCTCTCGTCGAAGATGACGTCGCGCAACACGTGAGCTCACGCCCCGCAGGATTATAGAGCCTGTACGCCTTGCTCTCAGGTTCATAGCCGATGAAGATGACCTTCAACCCCCTGGGATCGAGCTTGGCGAGGTGGAGACTCGCGACCTTCATGTATGCGACGCAGCTGAACACTTAGAGATGATGTACCACTGGCTTCTTGTTGTACCAAGCCTCATGTGGTGCCTTTCCGTCGAGCATTTGAGTTGGCGACTAATTAAGGAGATAGATGGTCGTCATTACCGCCTCTCCCCAGAATCTCCTAGGCATCCCGACCGTCATCAGGAATGACCTTGTTGTCCCGACAATGGTCTGATTTTGGCATTCCACCATCCCGTTCTTCTGGGGGGAGTAGGGCACCGTTAGATGTCGCTACATGCTGAGCTCGTCGCAGTACTTACAAAAGCTCATCGAGGTGAATTCTTCACCTCGGTCCATGCGCAACACTCGCATCTTTTTCCCGCATTCGGCCTCCGCTCGCGCTTGAATGTGCTTAATCGCCTCACTTTTCGCTTGCAGCAGGATCAGTTGTGCACGAGCTCTAATGGCTCACCGGCGCAGTAGGATGCCTGATCCCCTTCTTTCCCGCGTGTGCGCCCGTGAGATTTCTACTGCTTCTTGTCTAAGACAACCTTGTTTGTCGACAGCTGAAGCGACATTCTTCTTTCGTTGCTTGACATTGCGCATTCTAACCAATTGAGCTATGCATTGTTAGGTCGACGTTCTAACCAATTGAGCTATTCAACTTGGCTTTTGATAGACTTGGCTTCTCCACAATGATATATCACCGGTAGATGAACCTAGCTCTGATACCGGTTATCTTTGACTGAGCAAATGTGAGGAAATCGTTGACCGATGAAAAAAAACTGAAGGAAATTTGTTGGAAGAAGAAAATAACAGGAAAAAACACAAGAGAGAGATAGTATTTTAGATTATACACGAAAGACTCGATGATCTTATTTCTCATTCAATTGGGATATTTAAATAACAATTATATACTAAAAATGTACCTTCTAGTACCTTTATTTGTGTGACTTCAACTAAAAAAATAGTAAATAGGAGGGATGACTTTTAACATAAAATAGGGATCTAAAAAGAAAAGTCTTGGGTTCTCGCCAGCGGCGTACACAGCGGGAACATGAACCATTCGTCTCCCTCCCTCCCTTCGTCTCTCACGCACTCATATGAGTTTGTATCTGATGGGCAAATGGGAGTGGATAGTTTTGGATGGAGAAAGACATGGGCATGCCTTTAGGAGTGGGTGCCCGAGAATTCTAGCACGGAATTCTGTGTGTTTTCCGGCGACCGCACAATTTTTTTTGTTTTGTTTTTTTGAATCCTGACATTCCCTCTTGATCATTGAATACAAGATACAAATAAATCTTTAAGGAAAGTTTTTTCTTCCTCGTAAATAATATCTAACTAATGTTGCCAAAATCTAAATAAAGTAATACACCTAATTTTGTTTATGTGACGGGAATAGTAAAATTTATTTGAGAGGAGAAAATTGTAGCCTCAAAAAAATAGAAAAGAAAAGGAAAAAAAAAAGTACATTTATACGGAGAGAAAAGCCACTATGTTGTCGTAGAAACACAAAAGCTAGTCTCTAATCCAAATTCCAAAATTGATCCAAACAACTTCAATTTTCAAGCTTCCCAATTGTTTCCTTGTTTCAAAGTTTGTCCTAATTCTAGGAGGGAGGGAGAGAGAGACAGAGATTATTATTTCTAAATAAATAAATAAATAAAGAAATAAAGAAGCAAGCAAGCTTTAATGGAGAAATGAATAAATAATTAGCGTTTTTTTTAAGAAAAGAGATGGAAATAATATTAAAAAGTGGTATTAGGTTGAGTAAAGTAATCCAGAGAGAGAGAGAGAGAGAGAGAGAGAGAGACATTAGCAAAGCACGAGAAGCGCAGGTGGAAGTGTAGAGACATTGGCAAAGCACGAGATGTTCACGTGCAACTCTGACTTGTTTGTTTCTTCATTCCAACCCCACCATTATTGTTTATTACACAAAACCCCCACCTTCTTAGCTGTCTCCTAAATTTAGTCGTAGTTTACGAGAATTGAAGCAAGAAAGGGAGGAACACAAGAAGAAGCAACTTGGGTTGCTTTGCCTTAATTAAATATATACATAAATTACATGGTTTATAAATTCTATTTTAAAATAAATGATTATGTAAAGGCAAGGCTTGGTTGGTGAGTAATAAGAATAATAAGCTTATCATATCATGTCACACATACTAATAATAAAAGAAATTATGTAGTGGGTGACCCATTTGGGTGGTGGGTGATGCCTACACAAGCAATAAAGGAGAGAGAATGACACATCTTGTGAGAGAGAGAGAGAGAGAGGAGATAATAATATAATATATAGTTTAGTTAATATATAGGGGGAGGGGAGGGGGGGCTTGTGGGGAATTGGGAAGTGGGGTCTGTGAAAATGGGAGTTGTCTGGTGGGTTTAGGGGACAGAGGCACAGGGGTTGGATGGCCCATGCCTCGCCCTCCCCTTCTTTTGGTATAAGAACACAACCCATTTCCCCCAAACGCCTTCAGACACAAACCCATTTTGGTATAAGAAGAAGAAGAAGAAGAAGAAGAAGAAGCAAACATGAAGATGAGCTTGAACGGCAGCGGAAGCTCCAAGAGAAGGATTTCATCTCCGAGTAGAGGATTTGGAGGAGTTCTTAGAGAGCAAAGGGCTAAGCTTTATATTATTAGAAGGTGTGTTGTCATGCTTCTCTGTTGGCATGATTAGAAGAAAGGATTTAGGAGTTTCATTTCATTTAATTTTGTGGAGTGTAAATAGAACCAGAGATTTTGTTGTTACAGATTTTTTTTTTGGTTAGATTTGGCCTTGTTTTGGGTGTATAAGATGTGTAGATTTAATGCCATCAAAGGAAGCTTCCACTTTTTGATTTCATCTCTCTTTGTCTCTAAGATGAATTTGTTATGGGTTTTGTTGACATTGGCCTCCAATCAAACTCACCACATATTGCCTTGATTTTGGGTTTAGTACTTTACACACAATCTTCTCTCTCTACTCTCTCTCTCTTGGTTCAGAGACACAATTCTGGCCAAAGGAAGAAGCTTTTGATGATGATGGTGATGATTCAAAACCCCAAATGAAAATTGTTGGGTTTAATTAGTTTCCCGTGTTTTATTTATTTATAATAATTTGGTATGAAATAAAGGAAAAACGAGAAAGGATTGGCACTTAGATTGGGTCAAAGGAGGTCCTTCATCATTTAAAAGTAGACATTGATCATTATTTTTCCCACAAACTTGCAAATATAATTCATTTTATTATTACTATTTTGGAATAATTTAATGAACCTCTTTTCAAATATTGTTTGTGTTTTGTATCTCAGTGTGTGAAAAAGAAGGCGTTAGAGAATGGGTTTAGGGTTTATTAATTTAATAATAAACCCAAAGCCGTTGTTTGGCAAATCGCTATCGCACTCCGTATGGCTGTGGAATTTTGTGTCTTTAGCAGCGTTGGGAATCTAATACCCACCTCCCGTGAATTCAAAATGAGATCATCTTTTTTCTTTTTTTCTTTCCCCTTATTTTTTATAATATTATTATTATTTAATTCAGTGGTCAAAACTCGCATTGCAGGGGCCAGGGATTTATTGCAGGCATTCACGTGTGCCACGTGTACACTCGTCATGACCCCACTCCCAACACTATTCCGTTTTCTACCTTGTCATTTTTACCCATTTTACGGTTTTACCCCTTCGGAGTTCGGATTCTCTCCCCCCCCCTGAGTTTGCCTTTTTTTTAATATCAAAATTACCCTTTTGTTTAATAATAATTTAAGCTAATGTGTTATGATAAGTATAATTATATCTACCATTTAACACTCTCTCATTTGTGAAAATTGGTGGAAGACCCAACAAGTGTACATTAATATTAAATAAGGAGGAAAAGTCAACTTTACAACGGTTCGAACTGAAAATCTCTTACTCTTGAGTTATGATAAATGAAAAACGCTAGCCGACTAGCGTGCAATAACTTCCTCTATAATGGTATAATGGTATTATGGAATTATTCAATGTAATATTTTAACTAATAAGGTTAAAATGTTGAAGTACATCATAAAATTTGTATTCACGGATGGAATGCTCAATCTAATTTTATTTTATTTAAAGAAGGAAATATAAAGATGAATAATATATAAAAAGAAAAGAAGAAATAAAATAAAATAAAAGAGGAAGAAGAATCGAAATCAAATTAAGTATTCAATTTAGGATTATAAAAAATGAGGAGGTGGCTACAAGATAGAATCACAGAAACCAATGAAGCGCTAAGCTACACCACTCCCGCGCTCAAGTTAGAGTACAAGGACGTGATAATTATGAAACAATTACTAACTCCCTCCCCTTTAGGGTCAACGTGACCTTTCAAGTGCTACAGAGTTGATCACTAGCCAACTCTAGACCTTCTCTCCTCTCTAAACTTGGTTTTGCTTAAGGGTTAATCAAGACTTTCTAAGAATTGGTTAAATCCTAGGCTCCACTAGATAAGCTAGCACAACCCCTTGAGACATTGATCAAACCCGCCAAGGTCGAACTCTTAACGAGTTGACCACTTTGGCCTTTTGCTTACTCTTCAGGGTTTGACCCAATAGGTATAAGCAAAAAAATTTGGACTGACCAACCATTGTAGGGTTCGATCAAGCTCAACTTACAAACTCTTGGGATTGTATAAGAATATAATCGTCTGAGAATAAATGAAATCTCATTTAAAGTATCTTAAAATTCTTGTTACATAGATAAAACTTGATTTATCTTAATGTGACATTCATTTAAACTTGAGTTCAACTTTAATTTATATCATTTTTTCCTTTTTCAAGAGGTCATCCTTGAATCCTTGTGTGAAATATTGTTGCAAAAACAATGGTAGAAAATATGAAAGACATCACAGGCACTCTCTCGTGTTTTTGCATTCAATTAAGTTTAAGTAGCTCATGAATGCACTCAATTTTGAGAAAACATTTTAATTTTAAATATCACCTTTGGCCTGCATGGTCAGGCTAGTTGGCTATAGTCGGACGTCGGGAGGTACAACGACCGTCGTGTATCATGCCAAGCATGATAGTCATCATCATAGTGTATGCATCTGTACTCATAAAAGGGGAAGTATCTCGATGTAAATGAACATAAAATATGAATAAGGTCCCTATATTTTTGGTCTTAATCATTCATGTAGCACAACCCCACACATTCTTCACATATTACCCTAGGTAACATGCATACATAAGTTTTCGTACATTGATCATACATAATATTACGTGGGGTTTGTACATCAAAAACCTCTTTGTTATCATTCATGTCATAGCATGTCATATCATAATGCAACATAGCATTTCACACATGCATATCATCGTAACATGAGATATCATCATACCCTGTTATATCATCATACTTCTCATGTCATCATGGTATACTATATCTAAATCATAACGTATCATAGCTTCATAATACATCACATCATCACAACATCGTAATATCATAGCATATCACATCATCATAACATACTACATCATCATAACGCATCATATCAACATACATGATATGTGCAGTTGTCACATACATAAAAGAAGTTTTTCAACCGAGTCGATAGTAGGATCATTTACGTGGCCTTAGCTGACATTCTATCTTATTTTTTGAGATTGACTTGATTTGTTCCTCAAAATTCGTGTCAAACTAGGTGGGAATCACCATATTAACAATATCCTCTTAATTCTTTTAGCAGCCCTACAACTTACACTACTTAAATTGAATAAACGAAACTTATACTAAATCTTATACTGAACCTTAAGTGCCTTAAATAAGGTCAAAATTAGCTTCGAGAGAGTCTAAAACCTAGAAAACCGTGTCAAAAATTCAAGGCCTGAGTCGAATAAGTGATTTTCAGCTACTAGAGTCAATTGAGACAATGGGAGGACACACGTCACACATGTGTAGGGGAGCGCACGTAGGTCGTCGGATGGGTCGAGTCGTACTCACTCTCTCGGCATTCTCACGTTCTTAGAAGGTAAGTGGGTAGAGTGGGGTTGAGGTCGGTTTTAAAAAGAGAGTGATGTGGGTTGGGTTGTGCAGATATCTCGTGGCTGCCCTCATTGAAAAGCGCGAGATTTTCAGGGAGGGTTGATTGTTCTAATCTTTTTTTATTTGTTACAATGATCAACAAGATTCTTTAAGAAAGCTTTTAGGATTAGATTTGAGTGATTGAGAATCTCGAGAATTTGTGCGATAATGATATTCAATCCTTGGATATTTTGTAAGATTTGATTGGCTACGATCTTGTCCTTTAGTGGTGCCCTCCTTATATGTCTCATTATCGAATTCATCGAATTCATCTTTGTCAATGGTGGTTGTGGTTCATATTGTTGCTTGATTCAAGTTGTTTAGTTCTTAGTACGACACAAGGTCATTTCTAACCAACAACGTCAATTGTTGTAACTAGAAACTTAGTTAATTAGGTCAATAATTAATTTGTGTTTATCAAAAAAAATGGGATGCACTAGCAAAATAGAATCATTGTATACCAATGTAGTGCTAAGTCATACACACTACGATACTTATGTTAGAATCGAGTTTGTGATAGACTTAAACAAATGAGAAAAAGTGAAGTCTGGTTGTACATATGATATAGTTCTTACCAATTATTATAGTCGTTGAATATTCCAACCCTCTTTGAGAATGTTAAAAAATCTTGATGGGCTATTAGGGCATAATAATTACCAAATAATTTTTGAATCTATCCCTTCAAATCCAACATAAATCTTTTAAGTGTCACTAACCAACTCAATCTTTTCTTTCGTTCTTTTATATTATATATATTGGTCGATTTTAAAATTCTAAAGAAAAATATTTGAGTTATTAAAGGGAATTACAAGCTAAGGATTTTTAGATTAAAAGAATAATGGAGTTTTTAGTAGATTAGATAGTGTAGGCAAAATAAAGTGATAGAATCAAATCTACCGTTGTTGAACTAATAAAAAATGATATTTTTTTTTCTTGTGTTTTTTTAGGATGATGAAGTAAGGAGGGAAGTGATATGAAATAAAGAAATAAAGAAATAAAAAAAAAAAAAAAGAAAAAGGAAAAGGGAAGAGAGAGATATGATGTGAAGATTCGAAAACAGAGGGAGGGAGGGAGGGAGAGAGGGAGAGAGAGGGAGAGAGAGCGAGAGAGCGAGAGAGAGAGAGAGGGAGTGGGTGAAGAGTGTGAGAAGGGGAGAGAGACAGAGAAGCTAAAAATGCAAGCTACAAATTCTGCTGTCGGCCACAAAACAGAGAGCAGAAGGAGATTTTTGGTCAAAATGGCAGGCTTTATCTCTGCCCCACGTGCACTCTCTTCTCTTTCTTCTTTTGGGCCCCCACTTCCTCCTCCTCTTCCTTTCTTTCCTTTTGTACTTACCCATTCCCCCTCCTTCCCCCCTTCCCCCCCTTTCAATTATTGCCTCCCCCACCCTTCTCTTTTACCTTTAGCATTTAAAACACACTTCAAATACTCTTACAAAGTGGACACTCCTAACACTATGCCATCTCTCTCTCTCAATATCTCTACATAAACTTAATGGACAACCCTCTATAGAAACCACCATTGTCCCCTCTCACGAAAGCTTTACAACACAAACGCCCCATCTACTAAATTTTCTAGGCCCGACCTAAGTTGGCTGATACAACTAATGGTGTATCAAAGGAGATAGGAGGTGAAGACTTTAATGGCATCATTCACACTACGAGTAGGCATGATTAACTTTTTTGGTCTTCTCTTGGTGCCATGGAGGTTAGCTAGGTTCTTAGGATAACTTTTGTTATTGGAGCAGTAGGGTCTAAACTTTTGATCACCACTCTCGATCTTGGGGTGCTCGATTTACCGGAGATATCCTAACTTAAGTTATCGTAAAACCGTTCTAGCTCTAGCGTCTATTCTTATCCCAATATATATTA